GCCCTTCCCTGCCCAGTTCCCAACTCCAGCAGAGTTTGAGGGCATCGGGCAGACCTCCCCTTTGCACATCGCCACAACAAGGGACTTATCTACCGGGCTAAGTTAATCAGGAAAATGCCAAAGTGTCACCCAGTTTGTGGCCTTAACCTTATCCAAGCACATTTGCTTATGCCAGCAAGCGGCAGAACTGCCTTGGCTGCCCAGCAAAACAGCCTGTGGCCCTCTGTGAAAATCCCAGAGCCCAGATCCACTCCAGACCTGCCCGTCAGGATCCCCAGGGGTGGGCCCGGACCTAGAAAAACAGCGCAGATGGAAACCGGATAGAGAGAGACACACAGGCTGCACGTCCGCCCTGACCTTTCCCACGAGGGCACTTCCTTGGCCAAGCAAAGACGGAACAACAGGCTGCCTAGAAGCAAAGGGCAAGTCGAAAACAGCCTCTCCCCGCCACCCAACTGGTGGATCCAAGTGGTAGATCCAACTCCTGGGCAATCACACCCCCTTTCCTGGCCCCATCCCCCATCTCAGGTCCAAGGACACCGCCCACGCATCACAAACGAGAACACACATGTGAGGGTGACTGTCAGGAGCTCTTTGTTTCCCGCTAAGCCTGCCCTGGGAGAGCGGAGGTGCCAGCTCTCGCCTGTCTGGGGAGATAGCGATCCCCGTGTCTCCTCACATGTCACTTTCTCAGCACCAGCTTCTCCATGACGACAAGATCCATCCGTGTTGCCCATGAAACAAGACGCCACCACTTTGACAGACTGGCCCGCCGCAACCCTATCCTGGCTGCATGGTCCCCTGGCCACCACATACGCTAAGATAAAACAAGCCTACAAATAAAAGGCGCCCAGCAGCTGTCGCGAAGGGGAGGGGGTTTTGTATGTGAACAGCTATTCGAGCAATGTTTAGAAAAGCAGGGGTACAGGTGCTTTGTGCTGAGGTGTACCAACCTCCGCCCCCCACCACTTCCTGGGCGCCCTGAGGTGGGCAGGTGGCTGCTTCAAGTTCAACAAGGGCTGAGCAACCTAACCTACCATTTGCTCGCACTTTTCGGAAGGGTGATAAGGAACACTTATATGTCTGCGGCCCCATGAACAGCCTGCAGAGTGCCTTTGTCTGAATGAGCCACTATTTTTTTAAGAGGATACTCCCCATTGTGGAGCAAACATAAAAGTCTAGGAAGCGCTAGCCAATCCACTGGGAGAGAAGGCAGGTGAGCGGCTCCCTGAGAATAGAGAAAGAGGAGGGTAGGGAGACTTAAAGAGAGATTTAAATTTAGATAGAGAAGAATCCATGTTCCAGCTTTCAGAAGAACAATTTTTTGTTGTTGTTGTTGGAGACAGATTCTCACTCTGTCACCCTGGGTAGAGTGCAGTGGTATCATCAAAGCTCACTGTGAACTCCAACTCCTAGGCTCAAGCAATCCTCCTACTTCAGCCTCCTAAGTAGCCAGGACTATAGGTGCACACCATGACACCCAGCTAAGTTTTCTATTTTAGTAGAGATGGGGTCTTGCTTTGCTCAAGGCTCAGGCTGGTCTTGAACTCCTGAGTTCAAGTGATTCTCCCACCTTGGCCTCCCAGAATGCTAGGATTACAGGTGTGAGCCACCACGCCTGGCCAAAAGAATAATTTTAAAAGCACTTTTTAAAAAATGTTTGGCCAGGTGCAGTGGCTCATGCCTGTAATCCTAGCACTCTGGGAGGCCAAGGTGGGAGGATCACTTGAGGTCAGGAGTTCAAGACCAGCCTAAACAAGACTGAGATGCCGTCTCCACTAAAAACAGAAAAATTAGCTGGGCATGTTGGCATGCACCTGTAGTCCCAGCTACTCGGGAGGCTGATGCAGGAGGATTGCTTGAGCCCATGAGTTTCAGGTTGCTGTGAGCTAGGCTGATGCCACAGTGCTCTAGCCTGGGCAACAGAGCAAGACTCTGTCAAGAAAGAAAGAAAGAAAGAAAAGAAAAGAAAGAGAAAGAAAAGACAGAAAGACAGACAGACAGACAGAAAGAAAGACAGACAGACAGAAAGACAGACAGACAGAAAGACAGACAGACAGACAGACAGAAAGACAGACCGAAAGACAGAAAGACAGACAGAAAGAGACAGAAAGACAGACAGAAAGACAGACAGAAAGACAGACAGAAAGACAGACAGAGACAGACAGACAGAAAGACAAAAAGACAGAAAGACAGACAGACAGACAGACAGAAAGAAAGAAAGGTGTTTAAATAAACTGTTTTGTTTCTTTTTAAATCTAGTTATGCATATTACTTAAAATATTAAATTCTATCGAAATCCCCCTTCTGTGTACCCTTCGTTTAAAGGAAACCACAAACACAGTTGCTTTATTCGGGACACAAAATGGAGATGCTATACAGTGGCTCCCGTCAATAACCCACAGCAGACATTTATCCTCCTTCCCAATAGTCTGTAAGTACCCTCTCAGCTAAGTCAGCTAGCAGGTGCCCTAAGGCCTCTTTCTCTTTCCTCCTATCAACCAGTTCTCATGTGGCATGGAGGCTTTCCTTTGAACCGATTTCAAATTATCTATATCTTTAAATATGTACTTCTAGTTTAAGAAAGAATTATATCCTCAGCCACAAAAAACAATGGTGATCTAGCACTTCTTGTATTATCCTGGATGGAGCTGGAGCCCATTCTACTAAGTGAAGTATCCCAAGAATGGAAAAACAAACACCACATGTACTCGCCATCAAATTGGCATTAACTGATCAACTTTTAAGTGAACATATAGTAGTTAACATTCATCAGGTGTTGAGCAGGTGGGAGGGGGAGGAGGAAATGGGTATATTCACACCTTTAATGGGTGCCAGGCATACCGTCTGGGGGATGGACATGCTTGAAGCTTTGACTCAGATGGGGCAAAGGCAATATATGTAACCTCAACATTTGTACCCCTGTAATATGCAGAAATTAAAAATTTTTTTAAAAGGATGAATTATATACACACACACACACACACACACACACACACTTCTAAACATATGGAATGATGCCATAGTTACAGAAATGCAAATTTTAATAATAAAGCCATATTTCACCTATCACATTCACAGAAAGGAACAGATAACCAAAAACACCCTAGGTTAGAATGGTGGGGAAAAACAAGCGGTCTCAGAAATTAGGGAATGTCTATCAGCGTCCACAACGCACTATCTTCTGACTCAAAAACAGCCATCCCAGGAATCTATACGTACAGACAGGCCCTGTTGATAGCAAGTTCGCCCGCTGTATTGACCAAGCAGCCATCTCCCCCATAGAAAAGACAGAAAGACAGACAGACAGACAGACAACAAGCATAGGTAGCTCAGAGCTTTGGGGGCTCTGGCAGCCCAGAACCCAGCCGGTACAAGAGACAGAAGAAAAGGGAATCCCAGACAGCGTGGGGCCGGCAGCGATTCCCGGAGACGGTGTGTAACTCCCTGTCCCAGCGCTGCAGCTTGCCCCGCCATCGCCTGACTGAGCGAACTGAATCTTGTGAGAACAAAGGAACTGCCTCAGGAGGGCTACACAGGTGACCACAGAGGAATCACAGCACAGTGTCCCAGTGACTCTCACACCCACCATCCCCAAACGGCTCATGCTGCCATTCTGAGATTTGGCCGTCTGACTTCAGAGAAGCTGTCACAAGGAAAGCACGTACCACTGAGAAATTAGGTTGCTAAATCCATGTGGCAAAACATGTTTCTCTTTCCTCATTTCCTTTTCTCTTGAAAGTTTATTTCTTATGTTTATTTGTATCTATTTGTGGGGTACAAGTGCAATTTTGCTGTACTGTGGCAAAGTCCGGGCCTTCATCCTTCCTCATTTCTGAACCTCATCCTGTGTGTTGTTTTGCACTGCCTCCTCCCATCTAAAAAAAGTCCTTTGGGAAGATGTCTTCAAGTCTGTGCTAAAAATTGAAATAAATGTTTGAATCTATTTATTTATTAAAATCTACAGCCAACCTTTGGAAAAATGCACTAATTTTGCCACAAAGGACATACAAATGCTTTGCTGCTAATTACCCAACTATAAAACCAGGTGGAGAATTACTTCTATTTGAAAACAACAAATCACAAACACTTCTGTGTGACCCAGGAGTAATGTTTTAGTTTCTGGATATAAAAGCATCGTGTCCCTAAGTCCATTTTCTAACCCCTTGAAACCATCCAAGGTGCCGTCAACAACCGGATGTATGGGGACAGGCAGGCGGCCCCCTCAGACCCCAAACGCAGCGCTGTGAACACCTGGAGCTGGGCTGCAGTCCTCATGGCAGTCACATTTCCTTTCTAATGTAACTCCAAAAGCTCAGAAGCCCGCCACCTTGTGTCAGAAACAGGCAACGGCATACCGAGTCACTGGAGCACTTTTCTCTCTGCCAAGAGAATATTAAAACTACATGTTGCCAAAGGAAAGATGAATATGCAAATTCACTTAGTACATCAAAAATTTTTTGGCCGGGCGTGGTGGCTCCCGCCTGTAATCCTACCACCCTGGGAGGCTGAGGCCGGAGGATCTCCTGAGCTCAGGAGTTCGAGATCAACCTCAGCAAGAGCAAGACCCCGTCTCTACTAAAAATAGAAAGAAATTAGCTGGACAACTAAAAATAAAAAAATAAAAATTAGCCAGGCATGGTGGCGAATGCCTGTAGTCCCAGCTACTGGGGAGGCTGAGGCAGGAGGATGGATTGAGCCCTGGAGTTTGAGGTTGCTGTGAGCTAGGGTGATGCCACAGCATTCTAGCCCGGGGAACACAGTGAGTCTCTGTCTCAAAAAAAAAAAAAATTTTTTTTCCATCAGTAGTAATGAAATACGGAACCTTTTAAACTTTCATACCGGGTTCATCCTTGTCCAAAAGACATAATTCTAAATGTGCACACACAACGTCAAGTCAGGATCTCTGTAGTGACACCGGCAGGCCATTCAGGCTTCCCACCCTGGCAGTCTGCTCACCGTGTTTGTCTTGGTAACGTGGCGGGCAGCACAGATCTTACCTTTTGACCACCAGCTTCAGGGTCTTATGGGACCCCTTCACCAGGCAAATCGCTTCCTGTCTAAAGCCCGAGAGACCGATGTCATTGATGCCAACGATCTCGTCTCCGGCCAGTAACTTGTCGACCGCTGCGGCTTTACTCCCCTCTTCAATCTGAAATAGAAGAGCATGTTCCGTGAGCCCCCTGCGTGAGCATGCCGTTCCCGAGTAGAGGAACACCACACGCTGCAGTGCGCGGGGCCTGGCCGCCCTGCCCCCACGCAGGGCACCAGGGACGCATTAACACGGGGCTTCTTTCACTGACCCCTCCTGCCGGCAGCCTTTCCCCAAGCACGTGGGTGCTGTTCACCGGGAGAACGGGAATCTCGGAAACACACACAAAGGAAAATATGGGACTTCAAGATATCGATTCATTTCCTGGATAATTTTGGACCATGTTTATCATTTACTAGTTATTTCTCATGCATTAATCCTGGACACAGTTAGATCACTTTTGCAACAGCTTTATTGAGATATAATTCAAATATCACACATTCACTCATAAAGTATACAACTGCATGGCTTTTATAATAGTATATTCACAGAGATGTACAACCATCACCACCATCCATATTAGAACCTTTCCCTAATCCTAAAAGAAACCTCGTGCCCATCAGAAGTCACTTTCCAATCTCCCCCAGCCCTTGGCAACCACTAATATACTTTCTGTGTCTACGTATTTTTTCTGGACAGTTCACATAAATGCAATCATACAATAACGTGGCCTCATGCACGTGGCTGCTTTCACTGAGCATGATGCGTTCCAGGTTCATCCATGTTGTGGCATGTATGAGTGCTTTGTTTCTTTTCATAGCTGACTAATATTCCACTGTGTGGTCGGACAATACTTTATCTATTCATCAGCTGATGGACATCTAAGTTGCTTCTACTTCTGGCTGCTGGAATGAACATGGGTGTGCAAATTTTTGCGTGGACATATGTCTTCACTTCTCTTGGATATATACTTACAAGTACAGGTGGGAATGGCTGGGTCCCAGAGTAACTGTGTGTAACACTCTGAGGAACTACCATACTGTTTCCAGAAGCAGGCACACCACTGTCCACGCCCAGCAGCAGTGTCTGGAGGTTCCAAGTGCTCCACATCCTGGCTAACACATCTGTTTCCATTACAGTCCTCCTCAGTTATTACACCACGCTGCGTGTATTAAGATACTCGCTGCTCAGTGCTAAACAGTCTACTCTCAACCCATACCCAACTCCTTAAAAAGCTTGACTGTCACTCATTTTATGGTAACTTTTACCCTGAGAAACACTGGTCTTTAATTCCATGTGGTAATTCTATATGGTAATAATCCAATTTAGCTGCAATTAACCCCAGTTGACACACCTATTTTCTGAACTAACAGTGGTCAGTCAAATCCAGCCAGCTGCCTTTTTTTGTAAATAAAATGTTACTGTAATACAGCCACACCTATTCATTTACATATTGCTACAGGGCAGAACTGAGTAGTTTGGCCCACAAAGCCAAACATATTTACTACTTGGCTTGTTCCAGAAAAGGTTTGCCAAACCCTGTTTTATACCAAAAAACTTTACAAACTGCTAGGAAAACCAGTGGGGAGGGGGAATCACTGGTTATGAGCACACCAGTGTACAGTTTGCAAGTTTGCTGCCGTTTGACTCTACACCATGGCTAACCCAAGAATAGCTTCCAAAAGTCAGCATGAAGCACTAACTCAGTACATTTCCCTGAGAGTTAAAAAAAACAAAACTAGGTGGTAAGCAATTTAGGTTGCCTCAGTTCTGAAGTTGCATTTTCCTAAAATCTCCACCTAGATCCGAGGACAACTGAACTCTTGTGAATAAAGCAATTATTCACTACAAGTCAACACCATAAACAAAATTAAAAGGCCACTCCTAACAAAAATATGAAGCAGTTCAGTCAACAACTGGCTTCAAAAGTCCAGACAGTTTTATCCCAATGTCAAGACAGATTGTAAATAAGTTTCCACCTGCCCAGGACTGCACACTCAGCCATGGATAGCAAAATGCAGGCGACACATGGTGGAGAGTAGATTCTGACATGCCCTGAACGAGAGGCCAGGGGGCCATCGGGGTGGACGTCCAGAGGGGTAGGGGATCTGGAGAATGCCCCCACGTTCTGCACACAGGAAGGGTTCTTGTTCCAGGCCGCACCAGGAGGATGGTTCAAAGACGGAGGTGGGCATTTGTATGGCCACATCACTGCTACGTGCTGTAGCTGGAATGACCCACGCACATCTATGTGTCAGCGACAGAAAGCCTGCGTGTTGATGGGACTGACTTTGCTCCTTGTTATTCCCCCTCTGAGCCAAATAAGGTGTGAAAGATAGTGAAGCTTAGGGTGTGGACAAGGAGGCCAGTTACCCAGGGATTCCAAGGCAGTTCCGGCATCCTGGGGCCAGTCTTTCCTTTCGGAGAACTCTGGTCGTTTGTAACTTTCCTTGACTGTAAGGAATTCCACCTTGTTCAAAGGCCACAGAAGCTTCTTCTATCTGCGTGCATGCATTTCATGGCTACAAACTCCAGCCCCTAAGAATTTGGTTTCTTTTTCCTGGTTTCCTGGTATTTACAGTGGATAACACAGCTCACCTGTAATATTGATGCTATCAATTACTAATGTAGGCCAAGCGCAGTGGCTCATGCTCGTAATCCTGGCACTCTGGGAGGCTGAGGCAGGAGGATTGCTTGAGGTCAGGAGTTTGAGACCAGCCTCAGTAAAGAGCAAGACTCCCTCTCTACTAAAAATAGAAAGAAATTAGCTGGGCAACTAAAAATAGAAACAAAAAATTAGCCAGGCATGGTGGCACATGCCCGTAATCCCAGCTACTCAGGAGGCTGAGGCAGGAAGATAGCTTGAGCCCAGGAGTTGGAGGTTGCTGTGAGCTAGGCTGATGCTACGGCACTCACTCTAGCCTGGGCAACACAGCGAGACTCTATCTCAAAAAAAACAAAAAAAAACAAAAAAAAAAACAAAAAAAAAAACTGATGTACACAATGTATAAAAAAAGGTCTAATATAAGGAAATTGCAATTCAAAGCTTAAGTTAGATATAACAAATCATTTCCTAACAATTCTTAGCTTAAACTGTCTACAACTGACCTCATTCAGAATAATAACTTCTTTCTCCCATAGAGATACCCTCACGACTAAATGTAAACATACAACTCATTTACTACAAATAGATGAAAAGATTGGCCTCTTTAAGTACATTTTGGTAGTGATATTTCTCCCCTTAAACTGTATTTCATGTTATTGTTTTGTAAAATTTGCTCCAGAGTAGAGCAGCAAAAAGAAACAATTCATGTATATTTATATACATTTATCTCATTTAAGATTTAAACACTGACCTCTATGAGTACAGATGATTTTTCCCAATTCTAATTCTGTTGTGAAAGGAAACATAGTATACACTAAGAATTCAATTTATACATTTAATGAGTTAGAATGATGGCACGGAAAGGTACTAAGGGGAAGAATGCAACATTTTAGGTAGAAGACTAAAACATAAAAACATTGATCAAAGTAACAAAACTGTGAGAGTAATAACACTGGTCACATGCTAACGAGGTATCCTGCTTACAAAACTAACTTAGCCTATATTTTGAAGAGTACCCCAAAATGCACATTTACAAAGTATGCTTCTATCATCACGAATTTCTAAGGACAAAACTTTATGATTATTATTTTCCTTTAAACAATTATGAATTCTAGGTGGAAACAACCCAAATGTCAATCAACAGGTGAATGGATAAATAAAATGTGATCTATACATACAAAGGAATAGTATTCAGCCTTAAAAAAGAAGGAAATTCTATCAGATGCTGTAACATGGACAAACTTTGAGGACATTGTGCTCAGTGAAATAAAGCAGTCAAAAAAGGACAAGTACCTTATGACTGAACTTACAAGGTACCTGAGTTGTCAAACTCACAGACACAGAAAGTAGAATGGTGGGGGCTGGGAACGGGAGGGAATGGGAATAGTGTTTAAAGGGCAGAGAGAGGTTCAGTTTGGGAAAATGAAAAGTTCTGAAAACGAAGAGTGGTGATGGTTGCACGAATATGCTCAATGCTGCTGGACTTACACTTAAAAATGGTAAATTTTATATTATGTATATTTTACCAGAATAAAAAGTTATGCATTCCTTGATATCTAAAAACAAGGAAACTATTTTGGCCCGGTATAAGAGTGATATATGCTGAATTTGTTCTTTGGGGTTTTTTTGAGACAGTGTCTCACTGCGTCACCCGGGCTAGAGTACAGTGCCAGCCTCATAGCTCACAGCAACCTCAAACTCCTGGGTTCAAGCGATCCTCCTACCTCAGCCTCCCAGAGTGCTAGGATTACAGGCATGAGCCACTGCGCCTGGCCATGCTGAACTTTCAAACTGTGTCCTTTTCCCTACACTGATACCTTTGAATTCAACTATCATGAGAAAACCTTTAGGCAAAACCACGATGGCTAATGGCTTGTGGGGTTTGGGGACAGTTTGTGAACCAGCATTTCCTCAGGGTGACACATTACCTGGGTCTGATTCAGCCGTGAGCAGGTGGGTTTTTCAGCCTCATCCCCACAAACGCTTATATAAACAAGTCCCAGACAAAGTGCTGTCATTTACTCTCCGACTTCACTACGGAGGATGACACGGTGTTATTTCTTCTCATCTGTAAAGATTCCTAAAGCTCCTACTCCAGAAACAAAGACCACGTTCCACACACACATCCCTCCCCCAACCACACTCCACCTACGTTCCCAGCTAAATGTGTTTGGGTTTGGGAGATAAAGTAGTCTCTTTTTTTCCCCCTTTTGCTTCCTCGCCAAGAAAGAGTATCTCTACATGTTTATTTTGTTCATGGGGAAAGCTGTCAGAAAAGAAAAAGCAGCTTTGAAAACTTCCATTCTATATTCTTTACCCCATCAGACTTCTCAAGCTCGGGAGAATTAATTAGGCTCAAACTTGGCGGAGAACAAACCTAAAACTGGCGCTTGGTTTTCAGGGGACAATGACTGGGACTGCCAGCTCCCTAAAGTGTACCACACATGGCAGCACTACAAACGGATGCTCATTTTGTCTTAGCCTCCTGTTTACAAGGTAAAGACAGCACTTGGCG